CAGGGGCAGCGGCCTCCTCAGCCACGGCCTCCTGTTCCACCGCCACTGCGGGGGCCTCTTCGACCAGAGCCTCCTCGGCCTTGGGGGCCTCCACCTCCGCCACGGGTGCGGGGGCGGCCTCCTCCTCAACCTCGGCACTTGCGGCAGCTACCTCCGCCTCAGCCACGGCTTCTGGTACAGCCTCTGGTACCACCTCCTCGCTAGCCATTGGCAGCTCCACCTCGCGCGACTCCACCTCAGGGGCCACCTCGGGGGCGGCCTCGGCCTCCTTCACCTCCTCAGCGACGGCTGCCTCGGGCGCAGCCGCCTCCGCCACTGGGGCCTCTGGCACTGCAACCTCCGGCACGACCTCGGCCTCCTTCGCCTCCTCAACCACAGTGGCAGCAGCCTCCTCTTCCACCGCCACTGCGGGGGCCTCTTCGACCACAGCCTCCTCGGCCTTGGGGGCCTCCACCTCCGCCACGGGTGCGGGGGCGGCGTCCTCCTCAACCTCGGCACTTGCGGCAGCCACCTCCGCCTCAGCCACGGCTTCTGGTACCGCTTCTGGTACAGCATCTGGTACCACCTCCTCGCTCGCCACCGGCAGCTCCACCTCGCGCGACTCCACCTCAGGGGCCACCTCGGGGACGGCCTCGGCCTCCTCCACTTCCTCAGCGACGGCTGCCTCGGGCGCAGCCGCCTCCGCCACTGGGGCCTCTGGCTCTGCAACCTCCGGCACGACCTCGGCCTCCTTCGCCACCTCAACCACAGTGGCAGCAGCCTCCTCTTCCACCGCCACTGCGGGGGCCTCTTCGACCACAGCCTCCTCGGCCTTGGGGGCCTCCACCTCCGCCACGGATGCGGGGGAGGCGTCCTCCTCAACCTCGGCACTTGCGGCAGCCACCTCCGCCTCAGAAACGGCTTCTGGTACGGCTGCTGGTACAGCCTCTGGTACCACCTCCTCGCTAGCCACCGGCAGCTCCACCTCGCGCGACTCCACCTCAGGGGCCACCTCGGGGGCGGCCTCGGCCTCCTTCA